GTGGTTGTCGTCGGCGGAGGAGGAGGGAGAGGAGGCGGAGGAGCTTGGACCCTCCTTGTAGGAGCAGCATTGCCATCAGGGACAAGATCACCCTTGTAGAGGGCCCAATCGTTCTTGTATTCAATCCAGTACGGTTTCAAGTCCCAGGAATACGAGGGTAAAGGTAGCACGCGCTGTGCCGCATTGAAATCACGGTGGTATTCGGACCAGTTGATGTCCGCGCCAGCCCGGTACAGAGCAGCAATACTGTCCGCTAAGATGGTCCAAGGGTCTCTGTTGCGGCGCAGCGTGGATAGGCAAGTGATTTCATTTCCAAGGCACGATTTGACCATGCCGGAGACCACTGGATGCGGCCCAAACTCGATCACAATGCTCTTTGATGTGATAATGTTTGCTGCAGATGCCCTCTGCAAGCCCTGTAGCATGTTGACGGGTTCACGGCAATGTCGTGCCAAATATTCCGGACTAAAAGAGCCCAGTTCAGCAATGACAGTTCCCAATAAGGGACTGATCACAGGGATAGACGGTGCGCGAAAGGTGACCCCTTTGGCTGACAGCTCGAAGTCCTTTAGGATTGGATCCACTTGCGAAGAGTGAAACGCAAAGGGCACCTGGAGTAGGGTACATTTGACATTCTGCGCCGTCAGCTTCTGCCGTATAGCTGCAATTTGTGCGGCTGGACCAGCGAGCACCGTCTCCTCGGGCGCATTGATACAGGCGATCTCCACATTGCTGTCCAGCAAAACAGGATTGATCAGGGAAGTCGGTGCTAGGACCGCAAGCATTGCGTGAGTTCCCCTCTGGCATTTCTCCTCGAGCAGCTGTGCTCGACGGCCAACGAGGAAAATGGTGTCTGCGTCAGACAGCACTCTTGCGGTATTGAGTGCGGCATATTCGCCGAGGCTGTGGCCAACCACTGCGGAAGGCTTGATCCCCCATGAGCTCCAAAGGCGGGCAAGTGCAATCTGCATGCAGGTGTTGGCGAGCTGGACAACCGTGGGAGTGAAATCATCCAGTCGACTTCCTGTCCCCGCGAGAAAGATGGGTAAAAAAGACGGGAATCCCATGCCTTGGGCAAGTCGGTCGAAGCGGCGTAGCTCGGATCGGAATAGTGAGAGCGTCTTGAACAATTGTTCACCCATTCCAGGGTATTGTGCACCTTGACCGGTGAAAGTGAAGATGGCAGTCGGACATGGCCCTGAGCGGGGAAAGGTTGACCCTTCCTCCAAGACCAGTTGTAAATTGGAAATGATATCGGCCACAGTTGTACCTGTCACTGCAACGCGGTGCGGATGATGGATGCGTCGGGCTGTCGTAGTATATGAAAGCTGGGAAAGAGTGTCTGCCATGTCGGCGCTGCCTGACAGATTTCCCAGATAACTTAAAAGTGATTCGACATTGCCTTTGAGTGAGGAGGGACACTTGGCCGAAAGAGTGACGACATGAGAGGAACGGGGATCGGTACAATCCAGTGGAGTAGGCGTTGGCGCATCCTCTACCAGTATCGAGCTGTTTCCACCAGCAGCGCTAAAATTGTTAATGAGGGCACGCCGGCCCCGGTCATGACGCCGTGGCCACACATTGGCCTGAAAAGGGATATGTACATTGCGCTCGGCAAGGTCTGTGGGAAATTTTCGATTCAGGCGTGTCTTGATGCCGCAATGGGGAGGGATAATGTTCTTCTGCATCATCAGCAGCACCTTGACCAACGCAGTCACACCCGAGACAGACTCGCCGTGTCCAATGTTAGACTTGACCGCGCCAAGATATAGAGGCTGCTTATCCCTGCGCTTCTGAGCGCCTGTTGAGTATGGGGCAAATGTACCGAGCACTGAAGCCATCTCGCGCGAGTCGCCCGCCTGAGTTCCAGTGCCATGCATCTCGATATAATCAACATCGTACGGATGCACACCAGACTGGTTCAGTATATGCTCGAATATGGCTTTTTGTGCGCCGACATGAGGCCGTGTAATGGACTCTGCTTCGGCCGAGTGATTGGTATATGCACCCAGAATCAGTCCCAGAATCGGGTCATGGTCAGCCAGAGCATCGTCCAGTCGTTTGAGCACAACGGTAGCCACGCCCTCGCCACGACAATACCCGTCTGCCGTATCGTCAAAGGTCTTGCAGTTACCCGTTGGGGATAGGAAGTGACCGCGGTCCAATCCGGCGGTCATGTCAGGATTTGTTAGACAGTTGGTACCACCAGCAATGGCTGTGTCAATGTCCCCCTGCCACAGAGAGTTGCACGCCAGATGAATAGCCGCCAGGCTGGAGCTGCATGCAGTGTCGGTGCTATAACTCGGTCCGCTAAACTTGAAGACGTAGTTGATTCGCCCAGGGATGAATGCGCGATTAGCCCCGGGGATGTAGTAGGTATCAATGTCTTGTCCGCTGTTGGTCTCGCACCAGTCATTGCTAGTGGTGCCAAAGAAGACACCAACACGATCCTGCTGCGTAGACGGCGTACGACCAGGAACAATGCCAGCTTGTTCGATGGCCTCAAACGCGGTGAGCAAAGCGATGCGTTGCGCCGGGTCAACTTGCGGGGCTTCCCGAGGGGACATGTTGAAGAACCGGGCGTCAAACAGTTCGGGATTGTCAAGCCAGCAGCCCCAGCGAATCTTACTGGTATTCTTACGCTTGCCTGCCGGATCAACATGCGTGTCGATGTTCCATCGGTTGGCAGGAACCTCCTTGCACAGATCTAGCCCTTGTGAGAGGAGCTCCCAAAGGGCCTCCGTGTTGTCGGCGCCTGGGAATCGACCAGACATACCGACGATGGCAATCTTGGCGCTGTTATTGGGAGTCGGTGGATCTTGCTGTTTCTCTGAAAGGGTAGGGATTGGGTTCATTACCGGTTGTTGCAAGGCCCGCGACAAGAGAGGATCTGCCTGGGTCGCAATGGGAATGACCTCATAGTTGACCATGGATGCAGACGGCAGGATAGTTTTGATACCATCCTCAACCTTGCGCCAATGGATTGGTCGAAGAAGGACATCTTCAATTGCAGACTGCAACAGAGCGCGAAAGTTGCCAGCCCATATCAAGCGCCCGGTGGCACTTGATATCACAGGCAACTGGGCGATATAGGACGCCAAATTGTCGGTGATCGTGGGGTCGACAATTTCGTCAATGTCGTCCTTCGTGAAAAGGAATGGAGCATGATAGGGCGCATGTATCGGAATTGACTTGCAGGCTACACGCGCGAATGCGGACGATTGGCGCAGCTCATCCAAAGTCGAAGGAGGACCGCTGACGGTCAGACCATTGGAAGCATATGCGCTGAAATAAGGCTGAGACATGCGAGGGAGGGACTAACAATCACTTTGGTCAATACACTTGAACTCCGAGTCCATATTAGAGTACTTACCTTCGTGGCAGAGAATTCTGCTAAAGCATCTCCGATCGCCTGACTGTCCATTCCAGGAACCACTATCGACCATTCCCGGGAACCAGTTGCAGTTGGCTCAATACAGTTTCCAATTCTGCCGGCACACAGACCGGTTCGGAAAGCAACAAGTACCGTTTGTACAGCGATTGGAAGCAGTTCAACCAAGGAGCGTGAGCAACTAATTGCCGCAGCAGCAAAGGCCCCAGTACAGAGGCCTAACAGGTGAGTATCAGAAGCCGTAGGGTACTGCAGTCCCCCTTCTGAATGAATCCTGCTTGAGGTAAGCACGGACCTGGTGGACCGGGCAGTGAAGTGAACTCACCGTATGAAAGACCCCAATTGATAGATTAGGACCAGAGCCATTTCAAGACTAGGATGAAGTCGAGTGTCCCGTCGCCGCGAGATCAAGTCGGCTATACTGGAGAATCGAGGGAATTCATCACGGAGCTCGCTGGGTAGCTGACCCAGCTCGAGGCGCAGGACCTGCAAGACCCTTTCAAAGAAAGACGTCAATATTGGATCTGCATGGTGTAGAAGCTCCCACAAGGGAGCATCCACATCATATGTTTGATCTCCAAACAAGTAAATTCGATGATGTTGCGCCATGCTGGGCCTGCGCAAGTTTATTGGTCAACCAAATATGAAGTAGAAGGAAGCCCTCAGGTATGGAGAGGTAGCCGAGGAACATAAGCTGAATTTAATACTGGTGTTGATTCTTTCAGTGCATTATGTCTATTAGGCATTCTGTGTCTTGTCCTTCTCGAACAATCCAACCTGCCGTACTATATCATCTCGCTTCGAACGTGGGACAGCGGAATGGGGGGTTGGTACAGTACCTATTGTGCCTTTCAGCTCTAACTTGATTCAGATATAGACACAAATCTGCGGTAGCCCTGGAAGCCAGGGAACGATTAGACTGATGCTCCTCGTCAGGGCCGAGCCGGGGAACGAATGACCCGTCAGTGGCTGTTGTCGAGGATCGGGGACCGAAGACAATGTCCTAATTCACGACGCTCATATCTCACACTCCCCCTAGAGCAGAGTTACGGTCCCCGGTAACCTCTCGAGCCGATTCGCCGTAATCTTGCGTATGACGACATTTGACAGGTAGCCCTGGCTGGTAGGATATGCCAGTTGTGCAACGCATGAGTTCCCCCTGTTTAGATGGAGACATGGTTCAAAGATGGCAAAAGATACCCTAGCCTTAACCTGTCTGTCTCCGTTCTAGACCCACATTGAAGCGAGATTGATGGAGTGGGTAAATGTATGTACCGCGAGTGACCTAGCAATGGCCTAACCTTGTGCAGAATGCAGATCCTTATTGTATTGCGCTTGATGGTATGAGCTTTTCACCAATGGTCAGCCTCTTGTAGTAGCTAATCCACGAGGCAAGGGACACTGGATACATATATTGGGCTAGTGATAGATCATAAGAGAGATAGATTATGCTCGTTATAATCCTCGCACAATGTCCTCACCAGGTGTCATCGCATTTCAATTGCGGACGGTGGAAAATACAAAAATCGACCTCAACGCCAGGACAAACCACCGACACACAACTCCTCCTCAACAACCCGAGATAAAACTACCCATACCTGCATGATTCTCATTTGAATTCAGATCTCCCGTCTCCCACCAAGGCTGCCAGTCTTTCCTGCAGTCCGTCCGTGGTGGTACCTAGCCGGCTTTGAATAAATAACCCCAGGGTCCGGTATACCAGACCACAGTGACCCTGGCGGTTCTTGCTGGCATCGAAGCAGAAGGTGTCGATATAAGTCTGGACGAACCTGCTCAATTCTCGCAACTTGGCAAGAACCACCTGGATAATCACCATGCGGCTAGCGTGTTCATCTAGGGTATAGGCTCCAACAGCAATTGGACGACAGAGAGTTGCCTCGCCTGCTGGGACCTGAATATGTGGGTCGCGCATGTTGACAACGGCCTGGTACCCGGCAAGCACCTTGCAAGGGATTATTGCGAGAATGATGAGGAGGCAGAAGTCCTTAGTGCACGGACATGCCAGGAGGGCCGCGGCGGCCTCCATGGCCTCGCCGTTGACCTGAAGGATGTCATCGACGCTTGGATTGCTGCGGCCAGAACCAGATGAAGTGGCTGAGGAGCAGACTCGATACAGACAGTCCAGAGTCTCCATGGCCCGGCGGACACACCGATGATCGGACGAGCATGTCGGACTCGGACCTGTGGAAACCGCTGTTTCAATAACATGCTGATTGTCTGAATTCGTTCCTGTGGCTGGGAAAGCGAACCCAGCGAGGCTGATCGGACTTAGCCTTTCGTATATGGCATTATGGGGTGTGGATTGCAGCATCTTGGACATCGACCGGACTTGTTGCCTGGACAAATCGGACAGGTTGCCGGGGCAGTCAGATAACCGCGGCTGACTGTGACCTGGAGCTATTGCCGTCGAGTCTCCCAGTATGTCGGAAAGGTCTGGGGAGAGTGGCTGGAGAGAGGGATCGACATCATTTAGAATCGACTCATAGTCAAACTCGCCCGGCCAGTTATGTACTAGTGTGCCCATTACCTCGTTGTCTTGCGAGGGCAAGGGATCGCCGAGCATGGACTTTGGAATGGCAGCAGTGTCCGTTGTAGCAGCAGCAGCAGCCGGCTTAAAATGTTCGAGACTCGGCGAATTCTCGCCATGGTCATGATGGCAGCAAGCTCTACTGGATCGCTGCCGAGATCGAGGAGGCTTCCCCATCCGCAATGACCGACTGTAGTGGCAGGGTAGATTGAGTGAACGACATCGCTGACACTCGGGTCTTTCCTGACTACACTTGACTTTGTTGGATGAGCAGCGGTCGCAGGCCGATCGCAACTTGACCTGCGGCTGGTCTTTCTGGGGTGTAGAACCGGAAGACTCTGCCATTGGGGTGTGCAGACGCTTTTCATCTGCCGGTTACTATACTTCTCTTCGTGGATCTCTGCTATGTCACAGTCCCCACTGTGATCAGAGTGGCCTCCTTTAGCTATGGCAGGTGCTCAGTCAATTATAAACTGATCAATACCATTTCTGGCCCCGTTTCGCTTCGTTACGAGGCTTATCTACAGGAGTGGCTTTATTTAGCGCTGCACTGAAGGATTTAGCCTGATGCATCCGTGGGTTGCCTAGTGACTTTGGCCATCTGATAAGCTAACCATGGCGCGGCACATAGACGCATTTCGATCATCAATAGCCTATGGCGAGTCAGTCATCTTGTTGTCTGGAACGTCGCTGGTCAAAAGCAGGAATAATCCCTATATGGAGAGAGGGCAGTCCATAACACTTCTGTTTGGGCAATGATTCGAGAATCATTGGTAGGACGCAACCCCTTACATGACGAACCCATTCCAGTCCTGTTGGCATATTTCACGGTTTGAGCGTCAAGTGCTTCTCTAAAACTTATAGTGTTACATCTAAACCTGTACCAAACTCCTTTTTGGGCGCACGAATACATTTAAATAGGTATTGGGCTAATGCTCACACTAACCAACGTAGTGTGCTGGTGACCGTCTTCTAGCATATGATGCAGCGCACTATCACACCATGTGCCTGCTGCTTCGGAGTGACAAATATTCCCTCATCTAAGATGATGACGTGTACACGCACTAAGCATTCTTTTGATTATAGGCTTTGCATAGTCTGAATAGGGTTACGAATGTGCTAATCCATATGATTTAAAGTTACTCGGAGGCTGATTTTCGGCTGCCCCTCTATTCCAGCAATTGGTTGATAAATTAACTAATATGAAAAAAATATCTAATGGCACCGTTTCCTCTGATATTTTCACCCTTGCAGTGAGCCAAAGCAAATACCCCCTTGTGGGGTTAACACGAGATTAGCATACAGAGTCACAAGAACAAGCCCGGAAGTTAGTCAGAGTCCGAGACTGTCTATTGGGTAACTTAAGCCAAGTACATCAGATTCGGCCTCTTTCTCCGTATTGGAGATAGTCTAGCCGCTGATGGTGGAGCTCTGCGCCTTGCAGAGGGTAGACAGTAGACAGCCTGGTACCTAAGCGATTCGTTAAATTGCTAAACCTAGGGCCCAAGGGGCCCATGCTGCCTAGCCCCGCTAGTGTTGTTGCTTCGGACTCCGAATATTGGCTGAGATTGGACAGGGAACTCTTTTCCCAAGGGGGGCCGCAATGCTTGTCAGGTCTTGTCTTGCCCCTCCTCTCTTTCCTTGGCCGAAGCCACCAATAATCCTACCGTCCACACAAAGAGAGTTGAAGCGTTCGAGCCATCCCCACAACAAATTAGAGCCCAGGAAAGCCAATCGGATTCATTTACGAGTCTAAAAACAGGTAGACACCCCTGTATGGACATCAGGGGATATACTCGACTCTGTCTGTCCCCAGTTCGCCTGTCCTCTCCCCCAGACACACAGCGCATTCCCGGACTATGTATTTTTCCCGTCCTGTGTGTATCAGTCCTCCACACAGCCAAGAACGAAGCCCCTATGGGAGGGATCAGGTCCTGGCTGTGATTGTCTGCTGTTTCGCTTTGTCATTCGCTTTTGCTTCCCATTATCCTTTCTTCTCGTAAATCTCTTAATATTCTTGACCACCCGTTTTTCTTTTGTTTTGTGATTCATGTTTTATCAATAATGACCGAAGGAACGTCGGACACAACGGCAGCAGCCGTGGAAGAGCAGCCCCTGGACACGCAACAGGAGAAGCAGCAGCAGCCACCAGCATCAGCGCATCCGTCAGAGAAACCTCAAGGTGTTGTCGAATCCAAACCTGAAGCGAAACCAGGTCCTCCAGGTGGCCCCGGTGGCCCCGGTGGCCCCGGTGGTGGAAAACCCTTTGGACCTGGGATGGGTCCTGCGGTCGAGTATCCAAAAGGTCTCAAGCTCTACTCAATCATCATCTCCCTTTATCTTGCTGGCTTTCTCACCGCACTGGTAGGTCGTCCTCTCCTCAGTCAAGCTTCCTTGATTGTTGACTGTCACGCCATAGGATCGCACCATCATCGTCAACGCCATCCCCCATATCACGAATGAGTTCAACTCTATCGACGATGTCGGTTGGTACGGTAGCGCATATCTCCTGACCTTTTGCGCGTTTCAGCTGCTTTTTGGCAAGATCTACTCGTTCTACAATCCAAAATGGGTGTTTTTGACCGCGGTGGTCATCTTCGAAATCGGGTCTGCTATCTGCGGTGCCGCGCCCAATTCGACAGTACTCATCGTTGGTCGCGCAATCGCTGGCCTGGGATCATCGGGGATATTTGGTGGAAGTGTAATCATCACCTTCTTCACCGTCCCATTGCACATGCGACCCATCTACTCGGGCATTGTTAGCGTCATCTTCGCCATCGCATCTGTCACAGGTCCCCTGATTGGTGGTGGCTTCACCGAAAATGTCACCTGGCGCTGGTGCTTCTACATCAACTTGCCCATTGGCGCAGTCACTATAATGGTACTCGTGCTGATGCTCCAGATGCCTCCTGCGCGCAAGGCAGGCACTCCGATACGCGAGCAGTTTCTGCAGATCGATCCACTGGGAAATCTATGCCTGATCCCAGGAGTGGTGTGCCTGCTCCTGGCTTTGCAATGGGGAGGGGCGACCTATGCCTGGAATAATGGACGCATTATCGCGCTTTTAGTTCTGGCAGGAGTATTGCTGCTGGCCTTCGTCGGGATTCAGATCTGGCTTCAGGAAAAAGCCACCATTCCTCCCAGGGTCATCAAGCAGCGCAGCATCGCCGCCGGAGTTGCCTTCACTCTCATGGTTACTGCTGCCATGATGACGTTCACGTACTACCTCCCAATTTGGTTTCAGGCCATCAAGTCCGCGTCTCCAGTCCACTCGGGTGTCATGATGTTACCCACCGTCATCTCATCTGCGATCGCCAGTCTCGTAGCTGGTTTCCTGATCCATCGACTCGGCTACTACACGCCGTTCATGATTGGCGGATCCGTGCTTATGTCTATTGGGGCTGGTCTGCTCACAACATTCACCCCACACATCAGCGAAGGCAAATGGATCGGCTACCAGATCTTCTGGGCGGTTGGATGCGGAATGAGTATGTCTTCGTTGCCTATGCATTCGTTCGAGGCGGTTCTAACATATAATCTAGGCATGCAACAAGCCTCTTTGGCCGCCCAGGCCGTCCTTCCTCGCCAAGATGCTCCAATCGGTATCTCCTTGATTTTCTTCGCGCAGTCCCTGGGTGGTTCGGTGTTCCTGTCTGTGGACCAGGCCATATTCAGCAACAAACTATCCGCCAACCTGGGTGATATCGCCAACCTGACTGACAGCGGAGTGACGAGTATTCAAGATCGCGTGAGCCCTCAGGACCTGCCACGATTTTTGAACGGATACAATGGGGCGGTAATAGACGTATTTCGTGTCGCTTTGGCGGCCTCCTGCGCGTGTGTTGTGGCGTCTACCCTTATGGAGTGGAAGAGCGTAAAGGCTCAGAAAGGAGGCCCAGGAGGGGCTGGTGGCCCTGGGTCAGGGCAACCGGGAATGGGTCCTGGGAAGGGACCGTCAACTGCCAATGGCGCAACAACCACGAAGCCGAAATGGGATGCTGGCACTCAGGTTTAGCCGTCATGCCTGTCTATATTGTTGTCTAGCTCGCGAACAGATTTTGTGCACAGCGCTACAGCATGGATGACCCACTTGGGTTGACCGGAGCTTAAAAAGGCACATTCTTTTGGGGAGTCTGATTACTATTGCCGTTGTAAACTTTAGCCCTTCTCGTCCATAGTAATACTTAGCAGAAACTCGCAGCCATTAGATAGAACTCTCTCCAGTATTGATGTGCTCCTGCCATGTACAATACTACTAGCAGAATAGTTTGTATAGTCTCATTCAACAAGTTTAGCACGACACGCACATGATGGGTTCCTGAATGCAGTTTTAGGACTACAAGGCCATCACAGTAATGATGTGACCCTTGACCAATAGGAGAAACGCTTTGTTTACCGATAGCAATGGGTGAGTCTCGCCGGTTTGCCTTGTCCGTCCGTCAAGTGACACTCGGACCCCGAAGACCGATATTTTCGACATGAGGTCTGCGTCTGCAACTGCTGCTGCGGCACTTGGGCTCGACACGGGCATGAAAGAGTCATATCTAGATCTCATTGACAGAAGCCATCGACAGCGGAGACACCAAGGGCATTCTCGCCTCAGCAAGTCCTCCAGTCCACAATGGCATCGACCTCGCTCCACTCGACGAATCTATTCGATCTAGCCGGCTGCATTGCCGTCGTCACTGGCGGTGGCACAGGTCTAGGACTCATGATGGCCAAGGCTCTCGAGGCCAATGGAGCCAAGGTCTACATAATCGGACGGCGATTGGAAGTCCTACAGAAAGCCGCCAAAGAAGCGGTAATCTCCTTACATCCTGACTGCGCTCATTGGCAGTTCACTGACGTTGTTACCTTGCCTGCTAGAAATTCAACAACATTCACCCTCTCCAGTGCAGCATCACCTCACACGCCGAGCTCCAGTCCGCCGTCGACCACATCACCGCCCAAGACGGCTACATCAATCTTCTCATCAACAACGCCGGCATCTCGACGCCGAATTTGGGCCCGCACAATACCCGACCCACGCCCAAATGGGACATCGCCAAGGTGCGAGACTACTGGTTTCAAAAGTCCTTCGAGGACTATGCGGCCGTGTTCGAGACCAACACCACCGCCGCGCTGATGGTGACTTTTGCCTTTCTCGAGTTACTGGACAAGGGAAATAAGGTGCGTGCTGCTGGGGCGGGTTCCCCCGGTGCGCCGACCAATGGCAACGGCATTGCCAGTGCTGGAACCAGCCGCCAGTATATCCGCAGCCAGGTGATCACAGTCAGCAGCGTCGGCGGGTTCGGGCGGGACAACTCGGCCTTTATATACGGGGCCAGCAAAGCGGGGACAACCCA